TTCAAAATAATTATTTTAAAAATCCACGCTTACGATAACACAGGAAATTTTTTTTTTAAATCTGCGCTTATGATAGCACTATTTTTTTTTTAAATCCACGCTTATAATAGCCCTAGGAAATAATAGCCCTCGAAAAAAATATTTTTAAAATCTACGCTTTTGATAGTCATAGAAAAACATATTTTAAAAATCCAGGTGTAATATAGCCCTCGTTATTTTAAAAATCAAAAACAATAAAAATCTATTTTACTAATCTATTAATTTGTCTTTCTTTTTCCTCCTTTCAGTATGTCAATGAAGTTGTTATTGGCGCTCCCTACTGTGTCACCGAAGATCTCTTGGATCATTTCAAAGTTGATGTGGTGTGTCACGGCCAGACTCCCATTGCTCTGGAGGATGGTAAAATCGATCCCTATGCCATACCAAAGACACGAGGCATTTTCTGCCTAATCGACTCGAAGAACACAATGACCACGGAGCGTATTGTGGAACGTATCATTTCACATCGTTTGGAATACGAGAGACGCAACAAGGCCAAAGAGAAGAAGGAAGTTGAGGCCTTTGAGGCGCTGCAACGTTCCAAGCTGACACAAAAGGCTGGCTAATAATCTAGATGATGATGACCCAGCTCAGCTTAGGAAATTGAGGACAATGAAGCCAAACACAAAATCTCTTACAAATTACAACTAGTAATAATTATTGCTCTTATTCTTACAACTATTACTACTACTACACTTCCCAGAAAGAAACTACAACAAACAAATTCTTTAAAATCGAAATGCTACACCTGCCACCTGCGCCTGAATGAAAAAGAAACCATGTCTAGTTTTATGCTAGAGAAACAACAGGAGTCCTTTTCGATACTCCATATTTCAAAAACCCACATTTTGGAGAAGAGAATTTCATGGAATTTTTTTTAAATTATTTTTTAAGTTTTATTTTTATTATTATTTGTTTAATTATATAGATTTTTTATTTAGATTTGGGTTTATTACTTTATTGTTACTTCATATTTTTTGTTTAATTTTGCAATAGTAGTTATTATTTTTTAGAATGCAACAAAAAGAAAAAATCGATGCGATATATTTTTATTTTTTAAATATCGCATGCTATATAATTATTATTGGAATATTGCATGCAATATATTTTTTATTTATTTTTTTTTTCTAAATTTATTTTTTTTTTTCAAAATTTCTTTATTTTGTTAAATACTCTTTATTTAAAAAGAGTTTATTGTGAAACAATACTGTCGAAACAAACAGAAATTAGACACATTTTTGTGTCTCCATATATGATATATACACACACTGTAATAAAAACAAAATATATATTTTTAGTTAGAAATTTTAGAATTATATAAGCGTCTCTCCTGTCTGTATAAGATTATATCGTGTTCTAACTAAATTATATATAGCATATGATGTTTGTTATGTATTTGGTTCCGAAGAGAAAACAAATTTCGAAATCATTAAAAATTAAATTCTATGTATCAAAAATCGTAAATATTAATAGAGGAGGAATAATTTAAATAATCTCCAGTTTAGCTTTTTTCTCTCTTTCTATTCCTCTATACAAAAAATACAGTGGAAAAGGAAATCTCTAATATTGGAATAAAAAATAATCATCTATGTTTTTTCCAATGTTGAGTTAACTAGCCACTATATATTTTTTGTCTCTTTCTCTATGCCTTTGCCTGCTTTAAAATAAATTGAAAAAAATTATGCAAAATGTTTGTCCAACAATTATTCGTTCTACTACTTAAAAAATAGCTACAACCAATTATTAATCGGTAAATGATAACCAATATATAATTTTAATTGATTATTAATTTAATATATATGAAAAAATAAACTATTATTTTATTATTATTTTTATTTTTTAATGTTACAACATATCTTGCTTTGTTATTAGACATAAATAAAACAAGAAGAAGAAAAGGAAATATATTTGTAATTATTTTACATTAGAGTGATTATATTTTATAATTTAATTTATTATATATATATGTGTTAATAAATAAAGAAATTGTCATATATATTTAATTGTCTTGTGTGCCACCTCTTGGGCTTCAGTAATAAGTTTATGGGCAGTAGAGCTCCGATGGAAAAATGAATAATGTGTGTCGTAAGGTGTTTGCTGGCAGCAGGGACACCTATTTAGAATTCCTGGGCAATGCGCTCTCGGTACGAATTGATAATATTGTTATACCCGTATCTTAGTTGTGACATAATCGAACGGGTTTGCCTACGAATAAGCCTCTCACTGTCTGAAATTACAAGAGGATGTTGGAGTAGGACTTTGTGGCTTATGTAGCCATTTATGGCCTTCGTGTCGAATGTGGATCAGCCATAACTGTGTGATGGTTGGAACGACACGGCAGATAGCATGGAAGCAGGAACTGTTTAGTCAACAACACATTATGTCGCTGGTCTCCTCATGTATGTGATCGACGCTCGTCATCTGGATACACACAGTTGCAATTCGGAGTGCATTATTTTGAGTAGTTTGCATAGATCTTCATTGTGTGTTGCTAAGGAAAGAAGTCCAGACCGGGACAGCATAATTAAAGATGGAACGATCGATTCCTAGCTTTCATAATTTGGTTGACGTAGTTGGAGTACTAGGATAAATAAAGGAGGTAATCACCACAGCGATTCTTGGATTATGGATGCAGGGTATACGCTTTCCTTCGATGGGTATTCAGGTTATAAATTGACATCTCGCGTCCAAGAAGTGAAAGGTGACTTTGCAGTGGATAATATTAGATTAGACGAACGAAAAAAACGGTAACGTCATCGGCGTACCACACCACTGAAACATTTGGGGGGAGTTACGCAAGATACATATTCAACAAAATGCGGTACTCCTATTTTGATTTTGCGATATTTGGATTTTTGGCCAGGGAATTCAACGAAGGCTTGATATTACTTGGAAGGGCGGAATTTGTGATGTCGGATATCAGCTCGAAATGATCGACCGTATCGAACGCCTTGGACAGATCTTAGGCTGCCACAATGGTCGTGTCTCATTGAGGCCATTCGCAATCATGGAATGTTTGTTTCCCGGAATCCATGTTGGTGGGTAGCAAGAACGAAATGCTGTTTCAGGGACGGAAGCAATACGGACTCTAAAACATTGACTACTGGTTAAACAAGGGAAAACGGGCGGTAGGATTCCCCATTCATTTGGTTTTAGAATTGAAATAATCCGGGAAACAAATATCATCAGTGTCATCGATAATTCGAGATCTACCAAGTGTCTCATCGTTAATTCGAGAATTTTGGTTAGATGACCCAGCCCTATTGCAACAAACTTCTGTAACATTAACATGGAAATGCCGTCTGGACCAAGCGCTTTGAATGGCTTGGAGATGATTGCCTCTACCTCGCTAAATGTGAATAATAGGTCTTGTACTCACGCTAGTAGCAGTATTACCGGATGGAAAGCTAGACTGAGTGCTAGTCGAAGTACTGGAAGGGCCCAAATGGATTCTAGCCGATATTGCTGGATTATTAATGTAGCAATCGGAATTCCAATTGCTGTATGAACGCAGGATGGTATATCTTCTCATATGACACCGGTTACTACAACCAATGCACCTTAAAGATGTTACGTTTTTCCGTATAATTTCCCCGCAAACCGAACAGTTCCACTGGGAATTCAGGGTAGATTGCTGAGAAGGAATGGTTTCGAAACGATGGGAGGGATGGTTTCGAAACGATGGGAGATCATCAGGAATTTGATAATTTCTCATCGTCGGGGAAGACGATGAGAAGGGGTATCATATGGTAGGTGGCGCCCGACAAGGTACAATGTATGTTTTTTATTTTGTGTTTTTAAGACAGAAAATGAACCTTAAACACTTCGAAATATTTTGATCATGTATATTTAGAAATTTTAAATAAAATATCTAGGTCTAAATATAGGCTGTAAAGTTGTATTACCACTTTGCCATTTTTTACAAATTATTCAACTACGCAAAAAAAAATTTAAAATCATACAATACTCACAATTATATAACGTGTTAACGACATGTTTTTAATTAACCCCATTGGCTGCCAATAAATAAAAGAGAAACAGGCACACAAAAACTGTCGCAAAATTATTATTATGTTAACTTTATTAAAAAAAATTGTTGTCACCAAAATATGCGGAAGTTTTTTTTGTTTGCAAAACAAAATTATATAGTAGATACTTCTCTTATGAAATGGATAATGAAAAACAAATAAAAACCACAAAGTGAATCCATTAAACTTCCGTTTACCAAACATAAAAAGTCGACTCCACCATATAGCAAATGGACCCACCCCAAAACGAATCAATTTCAAACAGACCATCTGTGACAAAAAATCTTCTTCTAATGATTGGTCATTAATTGAGGAAAAACAAATGTTTTTTTAGAATAATTATTTATTTTGGTCTATGCCCATAATAATTGGATTCAAAATTACATAGGCAAATTAATTTGATAACATGAAAAATTGTTTGGGGTCTCTAACCTCAATTATCAAAGCATAGCATAATTTCCAAAAATAAATATATAAAATCATTTAACAGTTATTTTTGAAAAATATAGAGGAAGAAAAAAAAAACAAATTTTGTTCAAATGACCAGAAAATTGTTATTGCATTATTAGATGGTTAAACGGTGGTGCATTTATGTTATTACAAAATTGATTTCCCAAGTATTGAGAATCCTATACCCCTCTCCCCATCTGTCTAATGAAAGTAAAATTTGTGTGTGTTTCGAGTGAAATTAGTCGCCCGACTTACTATCTAACTAATATTCTACCATTAAAGAACGGTAAATTGCGTTTTGACGTCCATAGTAGTAATAATAATACCATTTTGATTTCGAAATAATAAACCGTACAATGATGACATAAAAACATTTTCAGATAAGACACTGCAGCAGCATGCTCACAACCATCAGCTGTTTGATGAATGGTATGTTCTGGGGTTTTCTATGTACGAGCTGACATTTTGCAGTTATTCAAAGGAAGAGGAAAGTATTCATATTTAAAAACGTCGTTTATATCCTGCATCATGTGGTGTTTTAAAATTAAATCTCTAAATAGGTTGGAAAACTGGGTTATGGGAGCCAATCAAAAGGGCTATAATTCTTATTATTCAGGATTATTCCAAAAACACACAATGCTAAATGACAATTCACTTCGTTAGGGAAAATGCGTCCACAATCTTCAAAATACCGAAAATCGGGCCGAACTAAAAAGTGCTAAAAAGTAGATCAATTCCATTGAGAGACGTGACCAAAGTCCCAAAAATACCTAAATCTGTGATGTACTCATTGGAACTAACTAACAAATATTGGAAGCAATTGTCTGAGGATAAAAAAAACAATAGCAATTTTGAGTAAAGTGAATTATTAGGGATTTTCTGTTTCCGATTAATTGATTCAGAATGGTGTTAGAACTAGATTTTACCGGAGAGTCCTGTTAAAAAGACTTGATGAACTGGAGAGGAAGTACAGGCGATTTAATCGAGAGACCCAGAAGTTAAATATTATTAAAAACGAGTTGGAGGAACTAGAGCGGATTACTCGAATGTGTGAAAACACTATTAAGAAAGTGGATGGCTTCAAGGGGGATATTCTGGAATTCTATT